ATAAAACACATTTTCAAATTTTTCAGGAGAGCATTCTTCGAGTGATTTTCAAGTAGGTAATAAGATATTTTTGTGCATTGAGCTTTTATCTAGTAAAGGGATGGGCAAACTACGGCCCGCGAGCCAACTGTGGCCCTAGAAACTGGAAGGATTTATCTGGCCCGAGGAGAGAATTTTAACTTGCCGATCCGTGGCGAATATAAACAATATACATCCATTTTCTTGCCGACTTTGTTTAAAGCTATTTGTGTTCTTTCTATTTTAACAAAGTACTGATGACTTATTTAATTTTTCTAATTTCGTTCTACAAAACATAAATTGGTGGAAGGCAGCTTCAATTGGTAAAATGTTGAAAGCGGAAGTTCTTTATAGAATAGCCATAGATTGGAGCCATCTGAAGCGGTTGTTTCGAAATATGCCAAAGTTTGAGTTTTACAAGTCATTACCAAAAACTAGTTTCCCAAATTTAATATTTTATGCCCATATATATGTGAGCAAGTGTTTTCAACTATGAACCTTAGAAAAAATCATTTCAGAAATAGACTAACAGACAAACGTTTAGCTTCGTTCCTTAAAATAAGTACATCTCACTTGGAACCTCAATAGAAGGAACTTTTAAAAATGAAATCGCAATTTCATTCATTTATTAAACATTTAAATTAAAACTTGTAAATCGTTTTCTTATTTTTTTTATTTTAGAAGTTTTTACTTAGCCCAACAAACTTTTTTTTCCCGATTTTTTGCCCTCGTCCGAAAAGGTTGGCTCATCCCTAATCTAGTAAAAATACCAAAAACCTCTAGAGTTCCTGTCTGGAAAGAATACTAAGGAACAGTTAAATATCACATTAAGAAAAATAAGTTATTAAAATATTTCAAAGCCTTTTACGTCATTAAAATATTGTTCAAACGAAAGAGCATTTTTGAAACAAAATGTAAGGGTATATATATAGAATAAACACATATTTTGATTGTAATAATAAATTGCGAAATCTTTGTTTAATATCAACATTATCCTCAAGTGATTCCCAGTAAATATTGGATAGTTCTCTCCTCTAGATGTTTATAAAAATTTTATTTTTAGCTCTTAATCTGAATAAATTATATTTTTAGCTGCATATAATGAAAGAAATATAATGAATAGCTTAAAAATAGTCGGCTGTAGCTAGGAAATAACATGTTACAATTAGATAAAATATTGCATATTCAAAAGAACAAATACTTGAAATTTTCTTCAGGAAATAATTTCCACTTTTTTTCACTCAAGAAAAACGTTTATGAATTATCACTGATATGTGGTACATTAATTTTAATCCAATTTAAATGGAATGTAACAAGTAAGCCATAAAATTCAAACTAGAAACTCATCCTTTAATTTTTCTTTTAAATTTCATTTTACATAAACCTTAACGGTGCAGAATCATCAACGTCCCAACAGAACAATTTGTATTTGGAACAAGTGATGGCAATTGAGAAATCTTAAAGATTTTTCTTTTCTCTTGAGGGTGTGGAAATTATCAAACATAAATATTTTTATTATGGTGATCACGCTTTCAAAGTATCATCAAATGCAATTATTAGTAACGGCTTGTAGACTTGGCAATCCTCAAATCTCAAAACAAGCTTCAAATCTTTGGATACCAGTTTGTCTTGGGAAGTAAAGGCTGCTTGTGCGCAATGCTAATTACATAGATACAAACATGCCGTTGGCCAAGTATGCAAACAAATCAATTTTTTACAAAATGTAACCTCTTTGATTCATTCATATATAGTCATAATTTAACTAGTTATGTTTTATTTCTGCCAAATATTCCAAAAGATTTATAATTCTATTAAGTTTTGCTGTAGAACAAAAGATACAATTAAACTGGGAACCTGGTTAGATAAATGTGCTAAGATGTTTAACTTAACTAAGGTGATTTCAATGGTGTGGACATTGAGAAAAATCATGGAAAAAAATATTTTCAAACTATTGCGTCTGTTTTTTCAATTTATCAACACGCCTTCTAGACTTAGGGTGATGAAAAATACTTTTATCTAGACTGTGGAGAGAGAGAAAAAAAACATTCTAAAAGTGATGAAAGCTACCAGTCATTCTTAATAAACAGTTATACAATTCTATTGGAATGCATATTTTTTCTTATTTATTTCATATTATTTATTTTAAAAAAATCTTTTAAAACAATTAAAATAATCATTTTTAGTAAAAGAAATATCAAACAAAAGCAGGTAATAAGTAAAACTATTTCGTACAAGCCTAGAAAGCAATCATTAAAGCTTATTGTTATCTAACAAGTGCAATAAGCAAGCGAATTTAAAAGAACAGAAAACTCAATTGAAAGAAAATAAGATATTCTTTAAAATCTTAATTAAAAACAATATGCATTAAAATAATTAATTTCCCAGACATGAAATATTTAACTTGAATTGAAATAAAAAAATATTATGTCATGATATTGTAAGTTTGCATTTTCCGACGATTTTTTTACACGCTACAAACTTATTATAATCAAACTAACATTATTACTAATTATAAAGTATCAAGGCATATTGCTTAATCAAATATGGAACTTTTTAAAGCAAAAAAATAATAGTTAAGATAGAAAATTTTAAAAAAAAATTTATACTTAAAAGTAAAAATCTATTACTTTCATCAGAAGTTAGGGTATATAAAAAATTTGAGAAACAATACAATACGTGGTGGTACTAGGAGGAATTGAGAAACAATCCGTGGTATACCAATTCTACATCTTAAGATTATAGTTTCAAGTAAAAGTGTTTCTTTGTTTATTTAAGTATAATTCATTTCAATAAGCAAATGAACTTTAAATTATGAAAAACTCTAAAAAAAATCTCTTTAAAAAAGACATCTTTTTTTTTCAATTTTTAAACAATAACATTGCTTTAAAAAAAAACACGAGTTTTTATTCAGTTTCCTAGCATAAATCACATCAATACAAGTTCCTAATTTAGGCAGAGCAATTACAAAAATTTAAAAAAAACTAATTATCCAATTAAATAAAACTGAGCGAATTTTTAATCTAATAAGGTGCATAAGTTTGTCTTCTATAAAATAACGAAAAATGCAACTGGGCAATTCCACATCAGTAGTTATTTACTAATCATCGATGCAGAATTTTTATTACAACATATTTTTCATACTTTTTTCATTATTTTATATTAATTTTATATCATTTAGTTTTATATATTTCACAAAATAAGGGGAAAATATAATATATTTAGCATTTTAATAATGTATGGTTATGGAATGCAGCATGGTTTTTTTTTCTCTTAGTTTAAGATAAAATCTTTCAAACACTGTTCATTTTCAAACAATTGCACTTATTCAGATATAAGAGAAACAGTTATTCATCATTGAAATTTCTTTAATTTAAAAAATAAATTATTCAGAAATTTTTGATATGAGTACAAAATAAATTCAAACTACTTTTTTTAATTTTTATATTTAAGTACCAATATAATTCCTGTAACGCAACAGATTTTTTTATTAACAATTAATCTGTTTTTTTAATTAAAAATACCAAAATATATGTTTGCTTGTAATTAGAGCCCCAGAAAGGAAATATATTAAAGGGGCACCAGTGTCCCATCTGGGTCAAATGGTTAAACTTTTTATGCAAACAGTAAATCGAAGTTGAAACGATGGAAAATTCAATAAAACAATGATTGAAGCGTAGCGAGTAAGCCAACACTCCAGAATTATGATTTAAATAATGTAATTATGATCAATAGATCGAAGAAATGTTTTAAAAGCTTAAAATTACTTCTGATCTGTAAACATTGGAAACAAAACGAAAAAGTTTTTAATTTTGATAATTTGCATCATAATTTTCTATATTAGAGATAACTGCAATAATGTAAAATTTATAATACGATTTGTATTACGGTAACACAATTTAGCTATTTCAAATTTCTAGAGAAAAGGTTCATTAAGTTAGAAACTTACTTTTGAATTTATACTTACAACCAACTCAAAAAATAAATTTACCTACACATCTCTAAATGCTAAACGGGATTTCTACAAAGTTTTAAATACAACATTTTAATTTGCTAACATAAGTAGATGAACAACACAAAAGCCACCGGAATATATATACGTTTGTAGTAATTCGTCCGTATAAAATTAAATGAATTAAAGTAAGAACAGGCTTAACCTTAACTTAAGTTTATATGTAAATACATGAACAAAAGTAGATTAAAGAATTTAAAATTTCTCGTGCTGTAAAAAATCAGACTAAAATGACAGCTGAGTAATTAAGTGAGAACTATAATAGAACATACTTATAAAAATTAAATCAATTAAAAGAGATTAAAAAAATTTAATTTATAAGCATAAATTTATAATTATGTGAAGCATAATTAATGCTTAAAAAAATTAATAATAATAATTTAGAATGAACTAAAACATTACATATTTACAAACATTAGATCAGTTGAAAGAGTTAAAGTATCGAACTTAAATATTATATATGAGAATTTATAATTATCCACAGCTTAATAATTCAAATTGAAAAGACAATAAAATAATTTATCGCGAAACATAAGATGTATATGCATATGTAAGTAAACTTTACATCAATTAAAATAGTAAAGACTAAAGAATTTAAAATTATAATCATTACTTCATGTAAATGTTAAATATTCGTAGCGTAATTATATTAAATATACAACAAAACAATTAAGATAGAAATATTCGATCAATTTAACGCGTAAAAGAAAGTACTCAAAGAATGATAATAATTAAATTTTACGAAACTATCTCTTTTTAAAAAAAATATTTTTCTAAACAACTATTTTAATTTTTCCATCGAAATTAATCACATTAAATCGAACATAAGAAAATAATTTTTTATATTTAATTTCGAAGAAATGGAATCTAATTCATTTTTCTGTCCCGCTATTGTATTTTTTTTAAAAAAAGGTTAAAAAAAAGCTCTTTATAAAAACCGCGGTAATAAAAGAGAAATCAGTTATCACATTACCTGTAATTTGTATGAAGATAACAGTAATATCTCAGGTTGTGAAAGATCATCACAGCCCACATATGATTTTCACTGCGGTTCCACAACTCTTCCCATCGTTCATTGCGGATACCAGCAGACGATCCAAGCGAGCTTTGATCACGTGACGAAGATCGGAACCTTAAATTTTACTTTTCGCCAAGAGCTTCTTTGCTTTTTGTTCGATTTTAAACATTCAGTCAAGCGCTTTTGTTTCGTATGAAAGGCATGAAGTAAGTGCGAAAAAAAAGAATATTAGTAGCTCTTCAAGTAACTTTTCTTTTAATATTTTTCACTCATTCTGAAAGGTCAAAGAGGCGCATCGGAGAGAGACAGCCTATGGGTTGTCAGAAAGTTTAGCCCGATTCGCGCCAAATACTGCGCCAAGCATAGACACGCCCACGTCAGTGATTACTATGAAAAGATAGTGAAACCGAAAACAAAACCATAAAAAAAAAGTATTCGAAAGGAAACTTGAAAACACAATTGCTTATCGAAAATATTTTTGAGATAAGTAAATAACAGGCTTGGTTTTATTGAACAAACATGAAAGCGAATTTGTTGAAAAGAGACATTTTATATTAAATAAACAATCGTGCATTCAAAAATTTTTCTCACTGTATCATTCTGCGATTTGGGGGAGCAAACAATTGTAATTTAATTCTTTTCTTAGCGGAATAACTTACAATAAAAAAAACTTTTAACTTTAAAGTTTAAAAACGAATTCCTTTTTTTTAAATTTTTTATTTAACCTAGCTCTTTTACATAAAATAAATTTAATTTTGGGGCTGATATAATGTATACATAACCTAATATAATGTATGCATAACCTAATTTTTTAAAGTTATTATTCCAAAAAATATAAGGAAACATTGCTTCTTAAAAAGTATAATTAGAGGACAGAGGCTTATTGCTGTAACAAAATTTTAAAACAAAGAAAAGGAAAGGAAATAAAAAAGAAATAAAGATAACTAAATAAATAAAAAATTATTTTTCGACAACTATTTTCACACTTGCTTAATATCAAATTTCTAATAATTTTTAAACTTCTACATTTGATTGCACGCACTTCATGTAAACTTCATGAGAAATTTTTCTGCATTTAAAACGTTTCGGCAGCGTCAATATATATATATATAT